CGTCCGCACCGCACAGCCCGGAGCCGCCCGCAGCCCACCGAGCACGCAGCCCCGCGCACGCACCACGCGGAGGTCTGAGGAGCAGGCGGGTGAGCCCGCACCGCACAGCCCAGAGCGTGGAGAGCGAGCATCGGCAGCCCGAGGGGGGCCGCGAGGACCGCGGGGTCCTGCCGAGCTGCGCTGGGTCCCAGGGCCTGGGCCGCCGCCTCCACCTCCGCCCGCCCACCCGGCGCCGTCCCCCCTCACCATCGCGGGCGTCCCCTCGGAGTCCTTCGTAGCGCTCAGCAGAGAGAGTACCAGAAGAATGTTCGGTCGGCAGTGAGCCGCTCCTTAAATATCCGAGTCGGAGCCGTGTTGCCGGAAGTCCCGCCCACTCGCGATCATCTGATTGGACAGTTCGTAAAGCCCGCCTCACTGTCTGTCGCTGATTGGCTGCCCCTCGCTGCCCTCCCTTGCGCGAAGCCCGGAGGCCGTTAACCCCTGCCTGCCCGAGAAGCGTTCGCGCGCTGGTCGTCGCTGGGGAGCTTCTGCGGCGGGCCGCCTCCCGCACGCCGGCTTCTCCGCGCCCGAGCGGGGGCGTCTGCGCCGTCTGCGCCTGACTCGGGAGATCTGCCCGGGTGCTCTCCGCCTGCTCAGTGCGCTCTTCTGCGGTGGAGCTCGCTCGGGACTTTACCGCGGGGTCACCTGCCTCCCGGTTTCCTGGCGGCAGCCGCGCCAGCTTGCGGTCTCGCCGGGACGCTGCGTGTCCGCCCTCAGGGTCACGTTTCGCACGCGCTGCGGGCCGGCTGCCGGGCGTGGCGTGGCGTTCGTGCGGCCGGTGCCTGCACACTTAGCCCGTTCCCGATGTGTTCGAAGGGTTTGTGCTTCCCTTCAAGACCTCGGTTTTCTCGGAGCCGCTGTCTGGCTGCTAGACGGGAGGGAGTCATAATAATAAATGAATCTTTCTGTGCGCCTGCATTTATTTTCTCCGATGGAAGCGAATGTATTGAAAGTGTCAAATTTTTTGCAGTGAAGCCGGCTGCCCCCTTTCCAAATACTGATACGCGACCAGCCCTCTCATCCATTTAGT